CCACCATCCTCTGACAAGCTGCTTTCCTTACAGCTTAGTCAAGTAACTTGTATATCACTCCAATCCATTGACCTATACTCTCCATGGAGGCTCTGTTTTCATCACCTTCACTTCTCTCCTTCTCCAACTGATAAGCCCCCTCTCATACATATATTCAATCTCCTGACTGTCCCTCCTTCCTTCAAATTTCCCCAGCAAAATCCCAAGTCACTCTGCCTTTTCTGGACCTATATTTGTGCCAGTGAGAATGGCTAGATACCCTCCCCCACCCAAACAGATTGGAAACACTATAAATGCATAACCACTAATGTCACCTGGATCTTCTACACTGCCCAGTAGTGCTGAATTCTGCAATACTTCCCTCCCTACTCTCTAATGAGTGTTTAACATCTCAATTCCACATTTCTAACCTACCCTAGACCTTGGCTTTCATGAGACCCTACTGCCATGGCTTTCCTTCTATCTTTCTGATTATTCCTTCTTAGATTCTTTTGCCATTTCTTCTTCTCATCTAAAGGTTGGAGATCTTTAGGAATAGACTTGGGCTATTTGTCCTCATTATTCTATGTTCTTCCCAGGTGATCTCAAATATTCTCATGACTTGGCTAAAATCAAATTCCCTGAGTAGACAAAAGCAGTTTAATCATACAAACACAGGTTAATTTAGCTTATCTTGTAAAACTAACTTGACCTGAGTCATTTCTGGCTTATGTCTCTGGAAATCACAAGCAAAAACTTGAACTGTTTCCCAAGGTAACTGCTGACCAACACCCTATCATTTAAGAGAACTCTAATATTATAAGCAATCAATGTGAAGAATAAAGTCACTGCTTTCTCACTATATAAGCTGCTTTATAACATACCCGAGCCTTACTGAATGTTTTGAGTGCTCCCAGTTTGCAAACTGTCTTTATGGCACGTGCACAATAAACTTTTACTAATTACGATTTCAAGGATTCCTCAGCTTTACTTCTGTTATTTCTGAACTTTTGACAACTTTAAATACCACCTGTATGCTAATAACTCCCAAATTTCTCTTTCCCAGATCACCACCCTAGTGTGAACCATCATCAACTCCTGCTGATATCACTAAAATAGTTCCTAATTGACTTCTCTACTAGTAGTTCAGTATCCACATAATAGCCAGAGGGCTGTTTTTGAGGTCTAAATCAGATTATGCCATTCCTTTCCTAAACACCCTTCAATGACTTTCCATAACTCTTAGAACAAACTCCTAAAACATGGCCTCCATCTTAGTTTCCCGGGGCTGCAGTAACAAACTGCCACAATTTTGGAGGCTTAAAACAAAGCAAATTTATCCTTGCATAGTCCCAAAGGCCAAAAGTACAAAATCAAGGTGTTGGCAGGATTCTCCCTAAAGTTCTACAGGAGATTCCATTCTTTGCCTCCTGCAAGGTCTGGTGCCTCCAGAGGCTCCTTGGCTTGTGGCTGCACGACGCCAATCTCTGCCTCTGGCTTCACATCACCTTCTTCTCGCCTTCTCCTCTTATCTCCTCTGTGTCTCTCCTAGGAACACTTGTCATTGGATTCAAGGCTCACCAAGATAATCCAGGATGATCTCTTCTTGAGACCCTTAACTTAATCACACCTAGAAAGAACTTTTTTCCCAAATAGAGTCACATTTACAGGTTTCAGGGACATGAACCTACCATTTAAAGGGCCACTATTTAGCCTGCTCTGGCCTCCAAGGTCTTACTGCCTCTGCCTTCCCCTGCAACTTCATCTCCCAAAGCTCTCTCTCTTCCTTTGTTTACAGGCTCTACCCCTTCTGGCCTTTTTCTTTCTTTCTTTTTTTTAAGTTTGTCTGTTTATGTAATCTCTACACCCAATGCAGGGGCTTGAACTCTTGACCCAAGATCAAGAGTCGCAGGCTCTTCTGAGCCAGCCAGGTGCCTCTGGGCTTCTTCTATTTCCTTGGTCAAGGAGAAGTTCTCTCCCACCCTTGGTTACTGCATATGCTATTCTTTCTCTAGTCTTTGCATGCAACTAACTCTTCCCTCAGGTGCTGAGTTAAATGGAACTTCCACAGAGGAGCGTCCGCGACCCCACAAACTTATGTCACCACGGTTATTCCTTAAAGCACTCTTCCTTTTCCTCACAGCACGTACCCCTTTATCTGTTTCAAGTTGTACCTGCACACGATTTGGGTGTTCACTTGTTAACATTTGTTTCTACCATCAGACTGTGGCTTCTTCACCCCGTGTGAAGAAGCACCCCTGTTTTGTTCCCCTCTGTGTGTATACCCAAAATATAAGCCACCGTTGCATTAACTAAATAAAGTTATACTCTTTAAATAGAGTACTTTCCACTCCCCCTTTGAACAAGATCAGATAAGCGCAAATAAAAGGGTCAGAAAGGTGACCAGACAGCCGAGGACACCCCTGGCCTTCAGCGGACAACTCTCCTGGGCCAGCCTGAGAAAGTGATCGAGCTTGGCATAAAAAAGGAAAAGTAGTGTCTGATTATTAGCAAGATGTAAGGACTTGTCCACTCTTCGCTTCTGCCCTGGACAACTATTCAGTTCAGGAATTTATTTCACCTTTTATAATAATCTCTATTTCCTGGTCAAAAGGATTTAGGTTTTTCTGAAATTTTAGGGGAAAAATTCCAGTATGAACCGATTCCCACTTCTAGTCTAATTCACATTTATATCTAACTTTCTTAATTCTGCTGAACTACCATATGACTCAAGTATTAATAAATCCTGCTGGTCAGTTTTAAAGTCTAGTAGGCACAGAGGGACATAGAAATCTTTTCTGGAACACACGGAATTCTCCAGCCTCTTCTTTTCTCCTAAAAAGTTTTTTTTATATAATTGAGATGTAATTCACATGCTATAAATTCACCTTTTATAGTGTATAATTCAGTGTTTTACCCAAAGGTGTACCACCATTGCCACTATCTAATTCCAGAACATTCTCATCCCATACCCATCCCATAAAAAACCCATCCTCATTAGCAATCATTCTCTATTCCTCCCTGCCACAGGCTCTGGCAAACACTACGTATTGTCTCTATGGTTTTTCCAGTCATTTTTTACTTTCATGAAACTGAAAGAGAGATCAAATGATTTGCACAGTGTTGCAGTCACTAAATAAGACAGCAAAATTATAGCGTACACATTTCTAGTAACTTTTTAAACTATACATTAAAAAAACAAAAGATCAGTAAAAAATATGTTTAGCTCAACCGTACATATCTTAAACGTGACTATAAGACATCTAATGTATAAGGCAGAGTCTCAGGCTGGGGAGAGGCAGGGGTGAGGGGCATTAGGCAGACCCACTAAAGAGGAAGAGATGTGACTGGCGGAAAGGAATTACACTTCCGGATGGGGTGATGCAGAGCGAAGGTTGAGGGAAACGTGAGGCTATGTGGTTTATAGAACAGACATATTTCTTTTTAGCCGAGGGTTCTGAAATTCGTATTAATGTGCCCAGGTGCTCATTTGCTTCCTTTTACAGAGCCCCCAGTGCGTCCCAGAGCTCCCCAATCATTTCCTGTTTATGAGTAGTAAACGCAGACATTAATAGTGCTAACACCACTCAGAATACTTGTTGGGTAATGACACCTCGCAAAATAATGCAGGAACTCTGACTTTTTAATATTCTGTGTTTCCAAATAAGCTAAATAATTACAAGCTTAACTCTCTTCTGTTACCATCGACAAATGTGCACATAGAAACAATGATCCCATAGACTAGAATCATCAGAATCCATCTGCAAAATAATTAGCCACGCATTTTATTTCATGTCTTCATACTGCAAAAAACCATTAACAAAGGGGAAAAAAGGATGGGAATCGCTCATCACGCAGAAAAAAATTCATTGTTCAAAAGAGATTAATCTGAACCTCAACATTTTGGGGGGCCATTTAAAAATATTATTGAAACAGCAATTGAAAGAGACAAACTAATCGAAACTAAACATTTTATTAATTAAAATTGAGATCCTAAAACCACTAAGACTATACAACTTAAAAATAAGCTCTTGGCTCCAACCTAGAAAAGTCTGATTTCCCAACATACAATGAATATACAAGAGCCTAGGACTACTGAGTAAACAAATTTTCTTTCACAAACAAGTTATTCTGATTTCTAGAGATCCTGCAGATGATCATTATCATGTGTCTGAAAGATGACTGTTAAAAAGGCCTACTTAGTCAATCTACTCACAGGGCTGGACACTAAATGGCATAACAACCATTTAAAGTAGAAACCTCTCGTCTACCAAATATTTTACTGAAACTGTTATTAATATGTAAACTAACTTAAAAAGTCAACTCTTAACCGTCTTCAGCAAAAGAGAGCTTTGGTACCGATAAATGGGAATTAGGGAGTCTAAACGTTATCTGTAGATTTACAGTATGTTTTTGAAATTAAATTGCCAACGCCTGTAGACAAAGTGTGAAAGTCTCATCCTTCTGTTACCTACTTGCTCTATCATGAGGAATGAGCCACCGGACTCGTTGCAAGTTACTGATCTAAATAAAGCACTATGCTAAAATTTCTTGCAAAAAAAATTAATGGATCACATCCTACAATTTAGGCAATAGGTAAAAAAATTAAGTACTTTACTTTTCAATGCCCCCTTTACTTTTTGACAGGAACTGTAAGATCCTGTTTATTAGAGTAAGAGCAATTCCAATAAGTACTTCCAGAACAATTAATTTTAGTTTTTCCATTTGATGGGGGGGGGGGGGGGGGGTGAGAGGCTAACAAGAACAAATAAAGAAAGAAAGGGTGATTTACATTAAAAAGTAGACTGGGAGAGGGTAGGTTTAGCAGAACAAATGCTGTCAAACAACCATTTTTGCAAAATGTAGAGTATTATTATAAATCCTTCTTAAATTACACCCAAGGCCATGTACCTTGCACGTGAAATTTGCATAATTCTTTGATAAACCTCAAGGTTGCCAAATAACTTAATGAACGTTATTAACACATTTTCATTGTAAAAAGCAAAAGAGAAATAAAATAATCAAGATACAGTGCACTTTTATTTTCTGAAATGGCTATCCTAAAAGTTTTTCTTAAATTCCAGTTTTGCAAAGTTCCTTCTCTCTAGTCATCAATTACACATTGAAAACAACTTTACTTGTGAGTACTGTGGACTAACTCTCTACGGAGTATGCGTTTTTCATAAATCTAGACCAAAGTGAACTAATTGAGACTTGATTCTAAATTCAGCTTGTGATTCTTGGATAAAGCTTTGGAACAAAACCAGTAAAAGTGTGTGTGTGTGTGTGTGTGTGTATACTTTTACTGGTATATATAGATACATATATACATTTTTCGGTATGGTTATTTCTCAGATAATTTGGTTTGGAAAATATTTATATTCTTAGTCCAAAAGATTACTTTTAGAGTTTGAAAGATAAAAACAAAATTGGTTCAATAATTGTCAAATAAAATGAATACAAACACTGACCACAACAACTTTCCACCCAATCCAAAATAAACTGCTTCAGTTGAGCTCAGCTCACTTAACTTTAAAACTACCTCTCTTTTCCAGCTTCATAACTGGACTGAATGTTGCTCAACAACATTATCTGTGTTAAAAGTGAAGAGATAAAAAGCGTTGTAAAGACTGCACGAATGGCTGTGATGTATAATCACATTTCAGAGCTGGAAGGGATCTTTGAGATCTAATCCAGCACCCACATTTTATAGATGAGAAAACTGAAGCTCAAACGGAGTCTTTTGGTCAAATGACATGACCAATATCACATTCCATGGCTGAGGCATTCATTCATTCATCATTCATTCATTCACCCACTTACTGAAAGCTGCCTAAGTGCCAGGCTTGGTGCTAGATGCTGAAAACAGGCTGCAAGAGGCAGTACTTGCCAGTGTCCAACCAGGCTTTTTCCTTGTTTTAAGATAAATCCGTAAATGTCCTCACCAGGAAGAACTCCTAGAAGACTTCCACAGCCTTTGTAGCACTGGGCCCACTTTCAGTTTCACACATTTCAGTAAACACAGTTGGGTTTAACTTCAGAGAGTCCACAATCATGTTTACTTTAAGCGATTAAGCATTAACAAAGGGAAGCACAGTACTGTGAATGAGTCCCTCTCCAATACATTCATAACTTAAGGAAGTGCAATCAGAAAATGCCTCCCCCGCCAGCCCACAAGAGTTCATAGAGAGGACAGCTTACAAAATCAGAGCAAAATGAGGTATCCATACAGGTCAGTTAAGTCTAATAGCTCAAGTTTACCAAGTGTGGAATGTAAATATCTCCCTGTTTCATTCAGATGTGGGTATATTTTTCTGAGATGTCTGCAAGTTCAAAACACCTCTAAACTCATATTCAAATTAATGCCCTCTTCCAATGAAACATACATCAAAACCGGGCCTTTCTCCTTAAGATCAACTTCCTTTGATTTCTAGGTGATTAAAGGAAAATTAAAACAAAACAAAGAAAATAACACCTAAACTTCAATGTGCTGGCTACAAGAAATTCAAATCCTACATACAATAAAAACAGCAATAGCTCAAACTGCACATTTATGAGTTTTGTTTTTAAAGAGATGGGTGGGGAACTTATCCATCAACATAAATCATCCCTCATTCTGCTTGGATGTTTACATTCTTTAATAGTAAGTCTGGCACTTAAATGTTTTCTATAGCTCAATTCACAGTCTACTTCTTTAAGTAAGGAGAGAAAACCATATCGACAGAGGTTTTAAATAAAACAACCCATAAGTAAGGCACTTTGAAATATTAAACAGCAGCTCTCTGTGCATCCACTTTCAGTGTTCTACACCAAAATGAAACACAGCTTTCACAGAGCTCTCGCAGATGACCAGTGGGTGATTTCTGATAAAATACAGTCATAACTGAGGCTCTTTAAAGGCTCTTTGACTTTCTCGAAACTATTGTCCGCTCAGAAAGAAAGTGTTGTGCTCTTCTATTTCTCAAACTTCCAAATTTGATTTTTATCGAGAGCATCACAAGTTCTCATTTGAACATCAGGGCGACCCTCAGGTGTCCGAAAAGCACTAAGACACAGTCCTGAGTGGGGATGGAAAATGGTTCCGTCTTCTTTAAAATGCCATATAATGTTGGCTGGAATGGGGAACCCATCTTTTGGGCAATTCTGCATTCCTACATAATTTTTTTGCTGGGGAACCTCTGCGCATAACTCTGTCACAGAGTTAAACCTTATTTCCTTGTTCGAAGTATATTCAAAAAACTGATTGCCTCCTTGACCATGGCAGCCAAACAGTGAAAGGTTGGCACCTGTGGGGTTACTGTCAGGAGAGTTATAATCTAAACATTCAGAAGAGATCCCCATACTGCGAACAGCTCCATGCCAGCCTGGCCTATCCTCCGGAACATGTAAATTAGAAAACACATTTTTCAAATACCAGTCAAAGCTCTTGCACTTCAGCCGTTCTCGTAGTAATTTTCTTTCCGATATATCACCATAAGCCTCCTTCCTTGCTGGAGGGTTTCGATTGTAGAAATGTTCTTTGTACTGGTCCATCCACACTTCCGCTGCCCGAGCAGTATTCTGTAGGAAGTTGGGCCGAGCGTATGGGGCCCGCTTGGGGAATACATGGCCCACATGGGAACACGGGTGGATCTCCAGTTTCCCTCCACACTGCCACACCCGAAAAGACAGCTCGAGGTTCTCACCGCCCCACACTTCCATTCCAGTGTCATACGTCCCAAGGTACTGAAAATATTTCTTGCTGACAGCGAACAGTCCTCCAGCCATGGTGGGCGATCTGATTGGGTCAATTCTCGATTTCCGTCTGTCCCTTTCATGTTTGGGGACAGAATGCCACTGGAAGGTTAAGCGCCAGTCAAATCCACCAATCATGGGCTCCCCAGTCTGCATATAGAACTCAAAAGTATTCCAATCAATGGTGTCTATCACAGGACACACAATTGCTGTTTCATCTTCACCAATTCTTTCCAAAAGTGGTTCCAACCAACCGGAATTACACTCACAGTGGCAATCAAGAAAGGTGAGGACATCCCCCGTGGCAAAAGTGGCCCCAATCAGGCGGGCTCGAACCAGCCCCTCCCGCTTATTTGTTCTAATCAAGCGGACTCTCTCGAGATTGCTGATGTAAGTTTCAAGCTGTGTCTTCAAATAAACTCTGTCACTCAAGTCATCCACTAGGATGATCTCCTTCAAGAGGACTGCAGGAGAAGTTTCTAAAACACTGTGGATGGTGCGGAGCAAAGTCGACCAGGCTTCATTATAGAAAGCAATGATAACAGAGGTGGTGGGAAGTCTCCTATAATTAAACTTCTGGGATTTACACTCATACATTCTTTTATCTTCTATGTGCCGGTGCAGGGAAATCCTGTCGCTGAGATAAATATTAATGGCATATCTCTCGATAAGTTCTTCTTGCTGCTTCAGTTCATCCTCGCTGAGCTGGAGTTTGCTGGCTTTCCCCCACTCCCCAAGTGCGTGGAAATCTGCAGGGGGCTTCTCATAAAGCGGTCGAGACAACCCCTCTGCCTTTCCCCAGGGGTCTGAGAGCTGTTGGGGGCCCCTCTCCCTAGCAAGGCCGGCGGCTGAGGAGGCATGGAAAGTGGAGACAGAGAGTTCGACCAGGATATAGGCCACTGTTAAAAGCGCCAGCAACAGGCAGCTTTTGCCTGCCCAGGTCCACCTCACGGCCATCCGGATCCTCATGGCTAAGGCGCAGACGCAGCCACCAGAGTCACCACGCAGGGGAAGGGCTTCAGACCCGCAGATTGAGTTCCCAGCTCAGGTAGGCGCGAACTTCCGAGCAGGTTCCTCCTTTCACGCAGGCGCTCGGCTCCTTTCCAGCCACAGGGGCTTCGCAGGGGTCACCGGAGACCTCTCGGTCCTTGGCCTCCGGGACAGCCCCAACTCCTCTCTCCCCGCTTCCTCCACTTGATCTCACAACTTTTCACAAACTCTCAAGCCAACACCCCACCCTCCCAGGGCCGAGGACAAACTCCTCCCCTTCCCACTCACTCCTCCTGGCGGTTAGTTCGAGAAAGGCTCTGGCCAGGCCCAGGCGTGGAGGCGACACGGCGGGGCCGGGCTGGGGGCCAGGACGGGCACGATCCAGGTGCCCGAGTCTGCGGCCGCTCTCAACCCCCACACGCCCTCCCCCACTGGTCCTCGGTGGTTCTCCCGCGGCCCCGTGTGGTCAGGAGGCGAGGTCTCCGACCCAGTGAGCCTTTGCCACATCACGAAAAGAGAGAGAGAATAAAACTTACCAAGTTGTTTGCCGTTGGGGCTGAAGTCCACGGACGTGATCGCAGCTTTGTGACCCTTAAAATATCGCTCCAGAACGGGATCCTCCTGGGAAGAAAGCAGTCGAGTTTTGAAAGCAGGTGCAGCCGTCGGATGCGGGCGTCCCGGCGTCAGCGCGGCCGCCTCCACCGGGGCGGGTCCCGGCCCGGGAACCGCCACCGAGGCGCTGGGCCTGCGGAGCCCGGGGGCGCTACGCGAGCGCCCGCTTGGACCCCGACGCGGCGAGGCCGAGCGCCCGCCGCCCCCTCGGAACCCGTCCCCGCCGCCCGGGGCGCTTCCCGGGGTCCGGCACCCCCGCGGGGCCACCGGGGCGGCTCATCGGAATGCGCGTTCCCGGGCCCCTGCAGCGGGCTCGGAGTCCCCGGAGCGAGGCGGGGCCCCGGCTCCTGGGCTTTTTCAAACCCGCCAGGTGATTCTGACGCAGGCGCTCCACGGGAACCCTCCGAGAATTCTGGGGGCCATGGGGCTGTCCCGGCTCGGTCCGGAGCGCCAGGACGCCGGGAGGAGCGCCCGGGGTCCGGCCAGGGCTCGGCCCCGGGAGCGGAGATGGAGACGTGGACGCCCCCCCCCACCCCCCGGGGCGAGCGGCTCGGGACCCGGCTGCTGACGCTTGCCTCCACCTCCCGCCAGGTGCTAGTGCGGTCCGGCGGCACCGGCTGCGGGGAGGCGCCCCCCAACCCCTCCTTACCGGGGCGGAGGCCATGGGAGGAGCGGTCGGCGCCGAGCTCCAGCCGGCGGGGGGAACCGGGGGAAGGGAGGGGACGGGGTAGGAAGGGGGGGACCGTGCGGCGCCCGGAACCGTCCGCCCAGAGCGGCGGCGCCTCCCGGTCACTACAACAACGGCGGCCCAGTCAAACCCCGCGCTCCAGGCGTGGCCAGTCGAGCCCCGAGGCGTCGCCGGCGCCGGAGGAAGCGGTGTCTGGGCCAACAGGCAGGCGGGACGCCCCGGGGTCAGGTGTGACCACGCACGGAAGCCGTCATTTACTAACACTCGCGCTCCCCGCGGCTTGAAACCGTGGAAGAGGGCAGTCACCGGGACGGCAGTGAGACCGATGGGACGCAGAGGGCAGGGAGTCTATGATCAATGCAATCGGAGTTCTATTACACGTTAAAGAGACAGCGCCCACGAATTTGAGGAGGGTCTCCAACAGCTTAATGACTGGGGAGGGAAGTTTGGGATGGAGTGGGGCAGCTTGATAATTATTAATATATGCACAGGAACTAAACCTCTGGAGGACAGATTTTAATTTAATAACTATTTTTCACACAATATCCTTCGTGATATAGATGATGGATAGATGAATGAATGAATGAATGAATGAATGCTGTGCATCCACTTAATGGTTTTCTGCTATGTGTTTGTATTTTAATCTGCGCATTAGTGTATGCTTTAGAGCCCCCAGTTTACCCGGCAGCAAGTTTAAAGTCTGAAGGAAGCCTTAGAAAGAAACTTTTTGTTTTGTTTAAATTATTAGGCTACATAGTAACCATTGCCATTTGTATAGCAGGCTTTCTTACACATAATATGATTGACGCTTTGGCAACGCTATGGAGTTGATAGAGTTACAGAATGTTAACAACGTCTGCAAATTACAAACTTGATTCCTAGATCGTTTACATATAATTGTCGAAGATTACAGAGTCAGATCTTCCAGTTCTAAGCCCATATTCTTTTTTACCCTACCTCAAAGCATGAAAGACTCAGCTGAAAATTACATATGAAATAAACATTCTTGGCAGCAAGAAAATGACATAATAGACCACACCTGGTAAGATACATGTTTTATTAAATGAAAAGTATAGTACACACCTTAATTACAGGGTCTCAAGTTGTCTAGTGATAGAATTTAGTTTTAGTAAATACTGTACATAGCAATTAAGCAGAGAAGAAATAGCTTTAGATTTCAGTATTAGTTCAATTCAGGTATAAATTTGCTGACTATCTCCTGTTTGGCTCTGAGGGATTACAAAGGTGACAGACATTTTCACTGCCCTCAAGAATTCAACAGTCTAGGTTTCCAAGTCTCATATTTTAGCATGCATAATGATGATTTAAGGGACTCAATTCCCAGAGATGCTGATTAAACATGTATAAAGTGGGATCAGGGCCCTACAAATGTAATAAAGAAGTCTTAGGGGCGCCTGGGTGGCTCAGTCGGTTGAGCGTCCGACTTCGGCTCAGGTCATGATTTCACGGTTGGTGGGTTCGAGCCCCACATCGGGCTCTGTGCTGACTGCCAGCTCAGAGCCTGGAGCCTGTTTCGGATTCTGTGTCTCCCTCTCTCTCTGACCCTTTCCCGCTCACGCTGCCCCTCTCTCAGAAAAAAAAAAAAAAAGAAGAAGTCTTAGCTGTGTACATTGAGAAACACTGCTATAGTCTAGGAGGTGATATATCAAGAGTATTGATACTAGCTACTTACCAACACACTGGCAAGAATCTAAGTTTTGCTACTTATTCCCAGTCTAGGTTTGAAAAAAAAATTCTAAAAGACTAACATCTGACACACTTAAAAGTAATGCTAGATGTTGGTTTGTATGTAAAATGTAGCTCTGTGGAAAACAGTTGGGCAGTTCCTCAAAAACTTAACTCCTAGGTATATACCCAAAAGCATTGAAAGCAGGGACTGTAAGAGATACTTGGACACCAAGGTTTATAGCAATGTTGTTCACAATAGTCAAAAAGTGAGGGGCACCTGGGTGGCTCAGTCTGTTAAGCGTCCGACTTCGGCTCAGGTCATGATCTCACGGTTTGTGGGTTCGAGCCCCACATCGGGCTCTGTGCTGATAGCTAGCTCAGAGCCTGGAGCTTGTTTCAGATTCTGTTTCTCTCTCTCTGATCCTCCCCTGCTCATGCTGTCTCCCTCCCTCTCTCTCTCTCTCTCTCATAAGTAAATAAAACATTAAAAATAAAAAAAAATAGTCAGAAAGTGAAAACAACTCACATGTCTAACAGTGACTCTGTAAAGAAAATGTGATATGTACATACAATGACTGTCATTTGGTCATAAAAAGGAATGAAATTCTTTTTTTTTTTTTTTTTTACAAATAGTTTATTGTCAAATTAGTTTCTAAAAAGGAATGAAATTCTGATACATACTACAATGTGAGTGAAATCTGAAAACATTATGCTACATGAATAAGCTAGACACAAAGGCTAGTTGGATTCATAGAGACAGAACGTGGAATGGAGGCTGCCACAGGCTGTGAATGGAGAATTGTTGTCTAATCAGTGCAGAGCTTCTGTTTGAGGTGATGATATTCTGGAAACAGATAGTGTTGATGGTTCAAAACATTGTGAATGTACTTCATGCCAGTGAATTGTACACTTAAGAATAGTTAAAGTGGCACATTTTATTTTAATGTTTATTTGACTACAATAAAAAATAATAATTCTAGGAACTCTGAGGAATGACCAAGACCTCAGTATTTCTTACAGCCAAGATATGTCTGGTCTTGGGTATAGCAGATTGCCAGAGAAGGAAAAAGGTAAAAATGTAGAAACTAGTTCAAAAGAGAAATCTTTAAGTACAGATTTTTCTCTAAGTCTTTTAGTAAAAAAAATTTTCTTAACTTTTTTCCTGGTTATCAAAAAATACATGTTCTTAACTGCAGAGAAGGGAAAAATCACCTATTGGGTCATTACCTAAAAGTAGACTTAAAAATTATTTTTGGAGTGCCTGCGTGGCTCAGTCGGTCAAGGGTCTTCATCTTTGGCTAAGGGCTAAGGTCATGATCTTGCAGTAGCAGTTTGTGAGTTCGAGCTGGCTCTGTGCTGACAGCTCGGAGCCTGGAGCCTGCTTTGAATTCTGTGTCTCCCTCTCTCTCTGCCCCTCCTCTGCTTGCACTGTCTCTATACATACATACATGCATACATACATACATACATAAAAATAATAAAAAACGTTAAACGAAATTTTAAATAAAAGAATTTTTTCAGGGGCGCCTGGGTGGCTTAGTCGGTTAAGCGTCCGACTTTCGCTTAGGTCATGATCTCGCGGTTCGTGGGTTCGAGCCCCGCGTCGGGCTCTGTGCTGACTGCCAGCTCAGAGCCTGGAGCCTGTTTCAGAGTCTGTGTCTCCCTCTCTGTCTGACCCTCCCCTGTTCACGCTCTCTCTCTCTATCCTAGAAATAAAATAAAAATATTTTTTAAAAAAAAGAAATTTTTCATACACTTACGGTGTGCTCAGTACATGCTACATGCTCTTCTAAGTACCTTACAAATTTTGACACTTAATCCTCATAAGAATCTTGTCAGAGAGGTGCCCTAATTGCCATGTGCATTTCTCTATAAGGAAACTGATAGCAGAGACGTACACTTACTTGCCCCAGGTACGTGGCTAGGCGGCAGCAGAGCCGTAGATTTCAGTGGGTGCCTCCAGACTCCATTCTTAGTTACTAAGTCATGAGGCCTTTTGCATGGTTGCAGCCGTATTGCAAACACATAAACTTCTGTACATGTAAACTTTACTGCCTAACGGTAAATTTTATACCCCCCAGAACGGAACTTCTTTGTCTCCATTCCACTGTTCTCATTCATTAGTCCAAACGGCATCTCCCATGGTTCTTTTCTATATTTGAAATGATTCTGTTTTGCAACAAACATTTCCATATTTGATTTGATTCCTCACCTTTGCAAGCCAGCAAAAGTTCAGAGATAGATGTTTAGAAACATGGCCAAAGTCCTAACCTCAAGCCTGCTTGAATTCATATGACTCCACTTGTCACAGTAATTTGGGACCACTCCCAAACTGTAACTTTATTAATCTGGAAGAAAGCTACAATAGTTCACAAAATTTAAAAATCTGTAGGCGATCACTGGAGGCAAAGTACTGCATAAGACAGACCGATCCTTTAATTAGCTCTCCTTTTCCACATTCCCCTCGTTAGAAGCTTGAACATACGTACCTGAGCACTATATAAGTTTGTTTTTGATGTTAGCAGGTGTCATTCCTGGGTTAGTTCCCTTCACAGGTCGGAAATTCAGGGAGAGCACACAAGCGCCATCTACTGGTTACATTCTGGCGTGGGCCTTGGAATGAAACTACTTTGTCGCCTGTTTGCAGGCAATGGGACTCTTCTGGCTAGAGTTGCTCCAGAGTATAGGAGCGTACCTAGAAAGGAAGTACCAGATCTGTGTGAATCATGAAAGCATTGGTCTTTTGTTTTGTTTTGTTTTGTTTTGTTTTGTTTTGTTTTGAAGACCATCAATGATTTCTTTCAATCGAAGTTCAGTCCCCAAATCCTAGCAACGATATCCTCCCAGTAGAATTTATCTTCCCCTCTTTCTGTCTGTGGCTTCCACC